CAAAATGCGTAAGACAATCTAGACAACAGATACTATTATCACTGGAATGGGTACACTTTCCGTCAACTGGACAGAGAAATACAAAACAAATAGATAGGATTAGGAGAGCAGGAATAATACTTACCTCCATGTCATTAATAAAATGCTGACTTTACATCATGCTAATGATAAAATCTGGCAATTTAATTAAAGACATGGAAGCTTGTATTATGCACATTCAAAGCTGAGCAAAGTGCCATAAGCTTGACGTAAAAATCATGGAAAGTAGAAGACCAGTCTGTCAACTTTAAAATGTCTACAAATAGGGGGGCAGAGCTTGACAGCCAAGATGGCCGGACACGTCTCTGCTTAGCTCTGACCTGTCTGTGCACAAAATCAGTTTTAACTGCTCAGGAGCTCAACAATTTAAGCCACACGGGAGATATGACCCAAAATATACGAGTGGGATCAAGAAAACGCCTGTCTAGCTCTCCCGACAAGTGTGGACAACCAGCTTTCACAAAGTCTCTGTCATCACCATTGCGGGACTTTCTATGTACTGTCTCATTTACCTCCCAACGGAGTCGAGTACCCAGTGGCTCCAAAGCAAGCCTTATCTTAGCTAGCATGTTGTATCACACTCTTTCCAGCCTAGCTTAGCTCACCACTAATCTAACATGGTTAATGTTTATGTATACACACATCAAGCAAAGTTCAGCTAACATGTTTCACATTACATATATTTTGAATGCTGTCAGTTACCATAACCAGACCGTAGCTTGCTATTTCATTTATGTACACTGACACACTCAATATAGTATTTCCGCTTGCATATCTATTTAAAAATAGGCCACGATTGCTATTGCCACAATGTTATGCTACAGTTGCAAGAAAAAGTATGTGAACCCTTTGGAATGATATGGATTTCTGCACAAATTGGTCATAAAATGTGATCTGATCATAATCTAAGTCACAACAATAGACAATCACAGTCTGCTTAAACTAATAACACAGAAAGAATGAAATGTTGCCATGTTTTTATTGAATACACCATGTAAACATTCACAGTGCAGGTGGAAAAAGTATGTGAACCCTTGAATTTAATAACTGGTTGAACCGCCTTTGGCAGCAATAACTTCAACCAAATGTTTCCAGTAGTTGCAGATCAGACGTGCACAACGGTCAGGAGTAATTCTTGACCATTCCTCTTTACAGAACTGTTTCAGTTCAGCAATATTCTTGGGATGTCTGGTGTGAATTGCTTTCTTGAGGTCATGCCACAGCATCTCAATCGGGTTGAGGTCAGGACTCTGACTGGGCCACTTCAGAAGGCGTATTTTCTTCTGTTTAAGCCATTCTGTTCTTGATTTACTTATATGCTTTGGGTCATTGTCCTGTTGCAACACCCATCTTCTCCCGCAAAATGTCTTGATAAACTTGGGAATTCATTTTTCCTTCGATGATAGCAATCCGTCCAGGCCACCACCATACTTCACAGTTAGGAAGAGGTTTTGATGTTGGTGTGCTGTGCCTTTTTTTCGCCACACATAGTGTTGTGTGTTTCTTCCAAACAACTCAACTTTGGTTTCATCTGTCCACAGAATATTTTGCCAGTACTGCTGTGGAACATCCAGGTGCAAACTGTAAACGTGCAGCAATGTTTTGTTTGGACAGCAGTGGCTTCCTCTGTGGTATCCTCCCATGAAATCCATTCTTGTTTAGTGTTTTACATATTGTAGATTCGCTAACAGGGATGTTAGCATTTGCCAGTGACTTTTGTAAGTCTTTAGCTGACACTCTAGAATTCTTCTTCACCTCATTGAGCAGTCTGCGCTGTGCTCTTGCAGTCATCTTTACAGGATGGCCACTCCTAGGGAGAGTAGCAGCAGTGTTGAACTTTCTCCATTTATAGACAATTTGTCTTACCGTGGAATGATGAACAGCAAGGCTTTTGGAGATACTTTTAGAACCCTTTCAAGCTTTATGCAAGTCAACAATTCTTAATCGTAGGTCTTCTGAGAGCTCT